TATAATATATATCATATATATAATATTTTCCCTAATATATACTGCTAGTTGCCACACTTTTCTGTTTACTACTGCCTTGCATGACTGGGGAAAGAGAATGGCCCTCTTGATTCTTTACACCCTCAGAATCAAATCTTGGAGCTTGTTTCCTAATGTGGTGGAGTATTGAATTTGCACCTTCCATCTGGGGAACCGGGGGCTCCTTGAGGCTGGGTTTTCCCTGTGAGTGTTTCATCACTGGTGATAGATAGAAATAAACTTGACATGGGTCAGACAAGACACAAGAGCGTCACCACCATACAGATTTCCTCAGTGAGAGAATTCTAGTCGCAGATTGCACACCAAAGTATTAGGCAGGTAAAAGAGTATCCTATGAAAGGCACTCTGTAAACACCCACACCCACACCCACCTCTTCATGTTCTGTTAGGGAAGGGTTGCTAGCATTCCTGGAATCCCAATTTTAACTGGGTACTCTCAAAACAGTTAATACAGTGATTGTTGATTTGGCCTTCATAGAATCAGTCTGAAACAATTTTAAAGCTGCATCCTTTATTTTTTCACCTTTACAATTCTACCACACAGTAGTCACCTCAGCAAGTATAAGAAATTCATTTTTAATTTAGTAGGTCTTAATTTCAGCATTAATTTAAATGATTACCTCCCAAACTAAAACATACCTAGTTATAGTTGATTTTAATGGTTGTGTTAATATTAACAGCAATACTAATTTGGGAGTTTGATGAAAATTCCTTAAAATCATAGGTTCAATTGCTGCAAAATAGATGACCTGTAGGGAGCATTCCATCTTCCTTAGCTGTTGTTGAGGGCTCAGGCTTCAAGCTGCCTGTGTTGGTATCTTGTGTTCATCATTTATTAGCTGGGTTTCTTGGGCAAGTTTCTTAACATTGTTGGACTTACCTGGAAGATGAGGATTATAATAATTCTTTTTTTTTTTTTTTTGAACTGGGGATTTAGCTCAGGCCCTTGCGCTTGCCAGAGAAGCACTTATTCTACTGAGCCATCTCCCCAGCCCCACGATTATAATAATTCTTTTTTTTTTTTAAATTTTATTTATTTGTGTGTGTGTGTGTGTGTGTGTGTGTGTGGCCAGCTTAGCCCACCAGGGGGCAGGGCTGGCTGGCATGTGGTGCTGGGGGATTGAACCCCGGTCTCTGTGCTTTGCTAAGCTTGTTCTAAGTAGGTGCTTTAGACCACTGAGCCATCTCACCAGCCCAATAATTCTGATACCATACAGTTTATAAAACTTAATGAGTATGCTATATGTAACATACTTAGTGGCTGGCTCCTAGTAGTAGTTTAATGTATGATGGTGATTATGATTTATTGCATAATATAGGCTAAAACAGTGGAAAGATTTGCCTTGAATTATGATGTGGTCATGCCCCAATAGATTCATGAAATACCAGAAGTTGAAAACGCATCTAAGATATCTAATCTATTCCTATCTCAGCAGCAACATACACCAGAAAGTACCCATTGTTTGTTTGTGATTGTGTGGCTTACTGTGTACTGTGGTTCTCTGTTTCTACACAGGCTTACAAGAGAGTACTGGACCATATATTGCTTGCCTTGGAAAAGGCTGAGGAGCAGAATTACTAATATGGTTTTGACCTAATATCTATTGCTTGCACCACTGTAAAGTTGAAAACTCATGTTGAACCATCCTCAGTTGGGGACCATCCCTCGTCTGTTTGACCAGACCATCTTCCTTCTATTTGTTAGGGTACACGCTCTTACACTGTGCCGCAGCCTGGGGTCGTTTGGAGACTTTGAAAGCACTAGTGGAACTGGATGTTGATATAGAAGCTTTGAACTTCCGGGAAGAGAAAGCTCGAGATGTTGCTGCTCGGTACTCACAGACTGAGTGTGTTGAATTTCTCGACTGGGCAGGTAAGGAAGCTCACATATACTTAGAAACTGACTGGTGTGATGGCAAGTGATGATAAACATTTCCAGCTTCCAGCTAGCTGTTTTATTTATAGGTAACACCACAGTCACTATTAGCAATAATAAAATTTGCCTTTTACCCTGCTGTAGTGCTCTTGCCCTAAAACATTGTACTTAGCAGGTGCTGTGTATATTGGAAACTTATTGCTTTACTAATTTTACCAATTAATAACTTTCTATAAGGCCATGTGTACAATAGATGTTCATGGCTATTTTCTGAGAGACTCAAGCAAAGTGGACTATTCCTTAAATGTTTAAAAATAGTTCAGTAGCACATTTGATTCCACAGATAGAAAACATTGCGATTTTAAAAATATTTGTTTAGATAATGTTAATCCATAATGTTCGTAATCAGAATTTAAGTATGTTTCTGACATGGGAGGACTTCTGGGATATAACACCTTTTTCTTAATTTGGTTATTGACTACATGGACACATTCATTTATGAAAATTATTTGAACTGTACGTTTACAATGTTTTCACCTTTCTCTATATAAATTATACTTCAATATAAAGTTAAAAAACAGTGTTAGGTCTGGGGAGATAGCCCCGTGGCATAAGTACCTGTCTGGCAAGTGCAAGGTCCTCAGTTCAATTCCCGGTACCAAGAAACCCAAAACCAAACCAAACCAAACCAAACCAAAAAAAAAACTGTGTTGCTAATATTTTGCTTGTATCATGCCCGAAACCTTGTAAAGCATGGCTTAAAGAGATTTCAGGAAGATGTATACCTATGTAACTTTGTATGTATGCAAACATCAGCTTAAAAACTACTACTTAGGGGCTGGTGAGATGGCTCAATGGTCTAAAGCACCTACTTAGAACAAGCTTAGCAAAGCACAGAGACCGCAGTTCAATCCCCCAGCACCACATGCCAGCCAGCCCTGCCCCCTGGTGGGCTGAGCTGGCCACACACACACACACAAAATAAATAAAAAAATTAAAAAAAACAAAACAAAAACAAAACAACTACTACTTACAGAGTTCACTACCTTCAGTTTGTATTGTTATCTGATTTATGCTTTTAGCAAGTATTTGTTGAATGCCCATTATTGAATATGTCATGACTGTTGTAGGTACAATTGGTGTTCTTGCTTCTGGACATTTATGGGGGGCTATAATCTATAAACATGCTCAACAGCTATATAACACTGTCAAGCATCGCAGATTGGCAGTCCACGCTGTGGGGTGGTCAGAGGACGTGAAGTCAACGTGTTGGGGTTGAGCTGGGGCTTGGAGGATGGATGGGACTTAAATTTTCAATAGTAGAGAAAAAGACACAGCCAGATCGTTGAGCTGGGAATGAAAGCAGCATGGTGGCAGCAGGGACAGGATGGCCTTACCAGAGCAGCAAGTGAGAGCTTAGCAGAAGAGGAATAATCAAATGATTAAGCACATGGCTTCTTGAGGTTGAGTTGAAACACTAGTGTCTTTACTTGAAATTTGTATGACCTTGGACAAACTATTTAAATCCTCCCTGTGTTGGTTTTCTTTTCTTGAAAAGGGAGCCAATAAGGGCTGAGGATCATTGTGAAAATTAAATTAGGTGCTGTCAAACACTAGCACATGCCTGTCATGGGGTCAGCACTTGGAAAGTTCTGCTTCTATAATTACAGCTACGTTGTATCCTTCTATGTCAGACAAGGCACCTTTCATTTTATTTTGGAAACCATTGTAGTAGGTATAAATTCTTTAGTTGAAAAAAAAAACCCCATGCTTCTGTGGAAAACTTCAGTAAAGATTATGGCAAAGAAAAAGAAAATTACCAATGCTCCCAAAGAACCATTTTTGTCTTTGGCTAAGTCTCTCAGTAGATCTCTTTTGTAATCTCCATGTTTGACTTCACTACATTTACGCATATGTGTTGGATAATAACTACATTTGTGTGTGTGTATGTTTACGCTCTTCTGCCTTTTGCTGGTTCTTTACTCTTCACTTTGTGCTGCCTGATTTTCTTAGAATGTTTTGACACTTGGTTCAGGTACTTGTTCATCATGGATGAGGTGGTCAGCAGTGTAGAGAGTAGCTGGTCAATGTCACAGAAGGATGGGCTTTTCTGGTCATTTTCAAGTTTATCTAAAGAAGCTTGTTTTTTCAGCTGAAAGGAGAAAGACAAATGATAGATTTTATTTTAGTTCACATTAAATTGATATTCTGAACATGTGGAAAAATGTTACTAAAATGTATACATCAATTATTTTTATAAAGAAAGGTTACTATAGAAGTAACCTATATATGTGTGGAAAAACACTTTCCTATATCATACAATATAAGATTATAGCCACCACCAAAAAATGTAGTACTTTCTATAGAGTATTCCAAATAGTAGCAAAACATTTTCCTTTACTAACAAACTCAATCATAGTCATTTTATTTTTTAATTAATTACTTTCTAGTTTTTGTTGGTACTATATATGTTCATGATACCTAATACTGCATCTTAATCAGTTTTACTTCCACATCTCTCCTGGGTCTCCCTTCTCCTCATCCCCTGATCCCCTTCTCTCCATATCATAGATGTTTAAAAACTAAGAAAACATTGATGATGTCTAAATTGTTTTTTTTCTTGAAATAAACCTGAAGCATTATTTATTTATTTTTATTTTTAAAATTAATTTTATTGAGAAAGAAATAGCAATGAGACAATTTCAAACAGGTTAGTGGGAGTTACAATAATACACTGCACATTTATGTCTCCGTAGTAGTTATTCATATTACAAGATGCAAACATAATTGTCTAAACACTATTAGTACAAATCTTTCTTCTCATTGAACTAAGAGAACGTAGGTGTATATCTATCCTAAAAGGGAGATATAAATGAAAGACTATTGTGTAATTTTAAAAATATATATATCTAAATTATTTTGAAAGTCAAGATTGTTCTTTTTTCCTTTTTGGTCCATGAGCTTTTAAGATTGCCTTAAGCTGTGGTGCCATCTATTGGCGAAGTGGGAAATTAGTTTAAGGGCGCTATTTCCCAGACAATTACCCTGGCATTAGAAATTAGTTTACAGTCCACTTAAAAAGTACACGGAAACTTTTGTTCTTAGCTTTCTTAGGTAGATCCAGAAACATCTGAGGTATCTCTTGTTCCAAGTCTTCATTTTATGAAGAAGCTAAGAGTAAATGACTTTACCCAATGGGACAGATCTTAATTTCCTATATACCTTGCAGGGTAGCTCAGTACAATTTTCTTTTCCTTCCTGCCTTTCTTTCTTTCTTTCTTTCTTTCTTTCTTTCTTTCTTTCTTTCTTTCTTTCTTTCTTTCTTTCTTTCTTTCTTTTTCTTTCGATATGTTTTGTTACTTGAAATAAAAGGCTCAAGTCAACAACTTCTGACATTGCCAGTCCTACGGATAACCCACTACTATCATGGACTACTGGACTATATTGGATTATTTTGCTGAATTCATGCACCTACAATATTTAAATGGCAAAGGAATACCCATCTCTGACAAAAATAAACAAAAAAGGGGATACAAAAGAAGGACCATTTTGTATCTGTGTATACAAAATAGTTGGGATAGATATACAGCTACTTTCTCTTAATTCAATGAGAAGAAAGATTTGCATGAATAGTGTTTGGACAGGATATCCTGTCTGCTTCTTGCACTGTGAATAACCACTACGAAGACAACAATATACAATGTACTAATTATTGAAACTGTCCCATTAATTGGTTTTGAAACTGTCTCATTGCTATTTCTTTCTCAATAAAATTAATAAAAAGGAAACAGAAACGTTGAAGAAATGATCTTAAGGTCCCTTTAACTCAGTAGACATTTGCTGAGCACCCTGCAAAACACTGTACTAGATAGAAGGTTTAAGCAGGGAGGGAAAGGCTGAAAGAGGGAAAATTTCTTTTTTAAAGAAACATAATTTTCTGACCCAAGCTCTTCAAGATTTTATCACTATTACTGTCTGAACCATCTTTTTGCTATTTGAATCATGAATTCACCTTTCTTTGGTGTCTCTTCCATTTCATCCATAGGTAGTGCACAGATAAAACAGACAAGATTATGAAGAGAGCTTGTGCTAGAATAAAAGTGAGGTGTAGACAGCTCTGAAGTATGTCCCTGTTAGCAGAGCTGCAGAACAGTCTGTCCAGAGGGTAAGGCAGACACTGGGAGGGAGCCGGCTTAACCTTCAGGTAGTGAACTTCTTCCGGAAAGATTTCCCAGCCAGCCTTTGTCCAGGTCGTTCCATCGCAAATGCAGAAGCTGTCCCTGAAGAAGAAAGTAAGCAGCAGCAGCAGTTGTGTAATCCAGGATGGTCCTTGACTAGACATTGTTCTTTCTCAATGAGGAAGAAAGTCTACAGTTAAAAAATTGGCCAGAGACAGAGCAGAGACATACACAGTGATGATCATTGTAACTTCGCACCAGTCATAGTAGGTTCAGTGACATCATAAAAAGCTGCGGTGGAATGAAAAAGTACTACCTAGCTAACCAATCACCGTGGGTTTCTTAGAGATAACTTTTTGTTGCTTTTTGCCTGAAAGGGTTGAGCTTCTCTGGTTTTCTTTAAAGTGAAGAATTTGTTAATATTTTGCTAGCCAGTACAGTCAATCATAAAAATGTAGTCATTAATAAAATCTCATCTTATGGGCAATGTTTACTCACATTTCTTTGGAGTTGATTTGATGCTACTAGGTAGTGAATGAGGAGTAAGGTAGTGAAGCATGTGGAAAAAGGTAAGACAGTGAAGTGGTGTCGTGTGTGGTGAGACAGAAGGAAGGGGCGCAGACTTTGCTTGTAAGGCCTTTGCTTTTACAATCTATAGGTAAAGCAAAAGCCAAAGTAACAATAAAATTATAAGGTAGAGTAAAATGAGATCTAAATAAAATTTAAAATATGTACCAGTTGAAAGAGCAATGAGTTATACTTGGGAGAATAAGTTTCACAAAAGTGTATTTGATTTGGATGTGAAGAATGAGTAGAATTTTGGTGCATGGAAATGCAGAGAGACCATCTCAGAAATACCAAGAAATTCTGTGTAAATATTCCTTCATGAATATTTATTGAGTGCCTATTACATGCTGGATATTGAAAAACATGTACCTCTCAGTACAAAGTAGAATGTCAGAATATTAACTTCATGGAGCTTGCTATTTAGTACAGGAACACAGAATATAATTACATCTCTATTATCTGTGGCATGCAATGAAGAAAATGGGGTTGAGAAATTGTCAGGAAGTCAATGAGTGTGCGTGGTTTTTTGTTTTTGTGGTACTGGGATTGAACCCAAGGCTTTCATGCTATTACATTCCCAGGTTTCTCTCTTCTCTCTGCTCCGCTCCTCTCCTCTCTGCTCTGCTCCTCTCCTCTCCTTCTCTCCCTTTCCTCCCCTCCCTTCCCTTCCCTTTCCTCCCCTTCTCTTTCTTTCTTTCTTTCTTTCTTTCTTTCTTTCTTTCTTTCTTTCTTTCTTTCTTTCTTTCTTTCTTTCTTTCTTGCATCTCATTCATTCATTCATTCATTCATTCATTTTTTTCTCTCCTACTGTCCTCTGTCTTCTTCCCACTCACTATCCCTTCCTCCCTCTATTCCTCTTATTCCTCTTTCTCTCTCCCTTTCTCCCTCCAGGGTCCTTGCTAAATTGTCCATCACTATGCTCAGATGTGTTATTTTTTGGAATTAAATGAAGAGAAATGTCTTTGATAAGGCAATTCTTGAGAAGAGACCCGAAGGAACTGATGGGGGGGGGGCTGATGTCGTTAGGAGTGGGGCTTAGGGAATAGGAATAAACCCTGGGTACAGTCTTGAATGAATGCTGGGGGAGATAAAGCTGAAAAGTAGCTCGTGGTTAGACTGAGCTTGGAGGGCCTTATATCTTATTCAGTTGGCAGTATGGAATAGTTTATAGAGTTTTGAGAAGCAGCAAGAAAAAATAAGTTTATTGAGTGTGTCACTATGTACAGGCACTATGCTGAGATATTTGCATGTGTTATAACTATAGATACACCATATACTGCACTATACACAACTATGCTTTGTAGTATGTGCCATTATATATGATACCTGTCATGTACTATCACCCTCACGATTGCTTTTTGAGGACTATATTGTGTTATTGTCATTTTACTGATGAGGAAACAGAAGTCATGATTGGTTAAGCTATTGTGGTATTAAGAGAATGTTCTCAAATAAGCCCCTTTTTCCACTGGCTCACCCACATAAATATATAGTTTTAATGGAATGGAGAGTGTATTTTTTTTTAATTTTAAAGAGGAAAAAAACCCCAAAACATAACAAGAACAAAGACCAAAACAAAGCATTATAAGATAATAAAATGTTACAGAGCTTCAAAACAAAAATAGAAAATTAACAGTGGTTGTTATATTACACATTGTTATCACCAAATTTGTTGCTTAGGTTTCCAGATATAGGCGTGCAAGGTTGATCAAACAAACATTAACTCTTCCTTTCAGTAAACCTTAATTTTTCTTTGTCCTTTTTGTTTTTTAAATTTGTTTTAAAGAGTATAAAAATAATATCAGACATTAGAAGTGATACACATTTTAAAAAACAAGATGAAAAGTATTCAACAGTGGTTGTTATATTTCACATTCCTGCTTTCAATGTAGTTGCTCAGATTACAGATATTAGCTTATAAAATTGGTCAAAGTAAAAATTTTAAATATCAACTGCTGATTTGAAACTGTCTCATCGCTATTTGTTTATCAATAAAATTATGCCCATTTAGGCTTATGTTAGCTGTTGGGTTTTCATAAATGGCTTTTGCCAGATTGAAGTAGAGGCCATCTATTCCAATTTTCTGTAGGACTTTGAACATGAATGAGTGTTGGACTTTGTCAAAAGCCTTTTCTGCATCAATGAAGATGATCATGTGGTTTTTAGTTTTCACTCTATTGATATAGTGTATTACATGTATAGAGTTTTGAATATTGAACCATCCTTGCATCCCTGAGATGAATCTTACCTGGTCATGGTGTATGATCTTCTTCATGATTTGCTATATTCTGTTTGCTAGGATTTTATTGAGGATTTTGGCATCTATGTTCATGAGGGAGATCGGCCTGTAGGTTCTCTTTCTTAGTTGTGTCTTTTCCTGGGTTTGGTATCAGTATAATACTTGCCTCCAGGAATGATTTTGGGAGGATTGCTTCCTTCTCAATTTCATGGAAGAGTTTGAGGAGTATAGGGACTACATCTTCTGTAAAT